TGGAATTTTGGATTGGGTCTTGGGAGCGAACAGTAAATATTTCCTTCATTATTATAACGATTTTTATTTTCCTTTTTTCCTTCATAAATAAAATAGGATTCCATTACTACCACAGCGGAAAGGAGCTAGGAATTTTTAAAAAGATGGCCAACCTGACCTTTGGTTATCTCTTATGATCTGCATTCATTTGCCGTTTGTATCTGTAGAATATCATTTTAAAAAACTGCAGCCTCTGCTCTGTAAGTAGAGGTACACAACCTGTCAAAAGCCTGTCTTGAACCTTTCCCCCCAATTGTAAGGACCCGATCAGACCACTACCGGTATTCCCAGCCGAAGATACCTTAATCCCGCAGCTTCAATCAGCACACTTTATCCTACGAGGGTGTACAGTGCTCTCAGACCCAGACTTTCTCCTATAGCAATGAAGAGTTAAGTATTTTTCAAGAAAGAGGCGTCAAGATATAGCATTAATTCGAAGCTCAACCAAGTTTAGCAAGCATAAAATATATATGATCAGTATAGGCAGTTTTCGAATCTAATTGGAATGATAATCAAACATAGAAGGCTTCGAATAAATTCAATATAAAAATTGGAAGCGTGAAGAATTCAGCGTTGGATTTTTACAAATAATATCATAGGCCTATTGGTCTCTTGGGCCTTAGCAACTTCTGGGAAGTTGCTCAGGTCTTCCCCGATCATTTTTGATAGATGCCTTCCAAGAAATTCCAGAATCTTCCTACTATGCTGCATAATATGAGCAACAATAACAACAAAAAACAGTTGCGTACGGAAACATCAAATTTTCGAGTAGTCTTTCAAGAGAGAAGAGGATTGTGTTCCTTCAGAGATTAGAGGAGGCAATCACTATGCAGGCCAGCATCCACTCAGCTGCATGAGACTCTCGTGCAATTCGAATCTCTCCTGCTCACACCTTGTTCTTTCTAATTTTACTATATTTGTCACTTTACAAAGGAACATTTTGAAATTCAAGTTTTACCTGCCCATATTTTATTGCAGACCTACTACGGGCCAAAATTTTTTGGTAGAACTTAGTTTCAGAGAAATTTTGGAACCCGAAATGCAACCAAAGCAAGCGATTTTATCAATTACTTTGGTGCAACTAATAAACATTTGTACCTGAAACTCGACGAAGATCTGTATCGATTTCTGCGAAGAGAAGTGGATATCTTCGAGATGTCATTCATTGATAGGAGAGATATGGTATATTGAGAAAGGTGAAAACTGGATCTTTTGGATTCCAAGACATCAAAGCTTCATGGAAGATCCTTGCTTATATCGTTCATCAAACTTTGACCCTGAGTTGAGTTTCAGCTTCAGTTTTCAGCATGTGATAGTTCTGGAAGGAAGAATAAGAAAACTGTTTGAAGACCAATACACCTTAGGTTAATCGTGAAATGAGGTGGTCCTCGATGACTTCCGGCCTCACGAAGTATAAGTATTTTAAGATAGTAAGTCTTGGCACGTCTTGGAAATTCATTACTCCGCTATGTCCTCAAAATTTCTGCCTCTGAATGAATGGTGGTGTCAATCATTCTCTTTTTAATGTCTTTTTTGTATCCACGATATCATTTTAGTGCAAGAAGTAAACCGATTCCTTAGTGATTTCAACCAACATCAGATTTTGCCAAGTATGCACGCACGAAGAACTTAAAGTAATAAAACAATACTTCGTCATTATTGGGCCAGGGATTGATTCTGACAGCGGCCATTGTGAACACGAGTGGCAGTTTCTTCATATTACATGTGTAAAACACCACCATCCTAACTATAATTCTATCTTAATTTTGACTGGGAATCACAATGCCAAACAATTCCACATGCCAAGCAAAGGAGGAACCTTGTACTGTCGTCAATGCATTTAATTACTGGTATCCAAGTATGCCAATGGTGCTCCTTACCGAAGAGGGCATATAAATAATGTCAAGTATCTTGGAGGGTACAAAACGTGAATGAGGAACCGATGATTTTTTATTTATTTTTAGAAGCTACATAAGACGCTTCATCAGTTAGTGTCTGACAAGCAGACGAGTTATTACTAACCCCCAAAATTGCGCCTCGACAATTAGTTCCTTCTCTGAATGGAATGATATGTGCAATATCTGCGTCAAAGCTACTAATCCATTTAGGGTGTTCGCAGAATCCTTCCTAACTGCAATGGTTTGCCTTAAAAGTCGCAACAGTGAAGGTTGCTACTTGCACGGCATCGAAAAAAAGCTCAAAGGTGTCTCACTGAACCGCTCATCAACACCAAAGAAACTAGGTTCATGACTGTTGTTTAGAAGTCCATTATAGCTGAATGATATTTAAAAAATCCTTCGTTCTTGACATGGTTAAAAGTTTTGCGCAATTGCAGTTGCTTTGTTTATTTATTTGTTTCTTTTGCTTTATGCAATTTGACTGGTCTTAGGGATACGAAAGTCCTTCAAATCCAAAGGACCATCCATGCATTACCTTCCTCATAGGATTATTTATGACCTCAGGAAAATTTTATATCCGGGTAGATACATTGCAAGTTTATGACGTCCTCCCATGTACCGAGCCATTCTTGGATAAATGGAAGACTCGTATTGGATCTGTCTAATGGATATTTACTCTGAAATGAATCGAGGGCCAATGACTGACGCTCGTCCTCTGTCTTCAAGGGATCCTGAAGTCAATAAATCCGCTCCTATCGGGGTATAGAGGTGGACCAGTAAATTATTCTGGAATACAATCCCTAATACCATCTCTAGAGATCGAAAGACTCTTTTGTGGGCTTTTTAATGGGTAGAGTGCATTAGGATCTTCATGCAAGTACAACCCTTCGAACCTTCAAAGTGACAGGGATTAGGACTTCTATACTTAGACAGGCAGGACTACCGTTGATGGTTTATAATAGTTACGAGATAGTGGGAGATGAGAATGGGAAATGAGATAATAACGAATTGAATAAGAAAGCACCGGGTCTGGACTGAAACGACCATGTGCCTTCGGAACTAACAGAAGCAAAAGGAATGGATTCGCTGATATTGTCTTTATGTATGCCTTAACTCTTAACCGGTTTGCCATAGAGAAATACAGCAAAAATGTCGGATAACATTAATGACTAATTTCTCCTGGGTAGAATGTAAAATGGGCTTCATATTTCACACGTGCAGAGCTGGAAAGTGCAGTTACATGATTTTGAAATTTCACCTGTGTGCGTAAGGAAGTGAAGGAATGACGTCATGAAGAAAACAGGAAATTCTGAAACATTTTAGCCGCACTTCCCGCGCGGAATCCCTCTAGGCGATTGGCTCTTCCAGATAGAGCCCTCCACTGTTGTGTCTCGAAATCACGAATCAGAAGTTATGAAGGCCTATCTCGTCATTAGAGGCTGGCATTATCTTAGCATTGGCCTCCCCAAAAGCATTTATTCAGCTTGGGGATCAATGCAGTTATTTCACGACCCTTAATCACGTTATATATCATATCTGGTGATGAAGTGATAAAGAGAAATGCAAGTTCACACAGGAATAAGTTCCATTCCAAGCGGGGTAAGGTGTACACAGAATGGGTCATAAATTGTCACAGGCAAGTTAGAAAGTCGCTTCTGCTCTTAATGCCTCCTCATTCCTAATCCGTTGAAAATCGTGAGTTGGGTTACTTTGAATACCAGATGGCCCAAAAGTTCCAAATTCCGAAGCCTACTGAGGAAAAACAACAGATGATAACGAAAGGAAATATTCATGGGGTAACACAACATGAGCAGGTGATACTGCAGACATTTCAGCAGAATTGGTCCTTTTTCAGGAAAATTTCGGGAAATGACCTGCACATGTGACACCGAGTATAGTTGCTAAAGATGCCTTCTATAGAGTTTAATCCGTAATTGTGTAAAGTCTGGAACTTCTGGGTCACCTGGGGCCTGTTTTATGGAATTTACATGTTTTACAATCTACAAGTACTTACAAAAGATATTGTCTTCTTGTTTAACTCTTCTAGCTGGTCCTGCTCGCCCTTCGCACGACTACGACACAACCCTTGTAGTTACTTGTAACTTGTAGAACTTGTAAATTCCATTAAATAGGTCCCTGGTGTCAATGTGCGTGGATGGTTTCTCGAAAATTTAATTGAAATTTGTCATTGTTGGTTCCACATGGAAGGGATAGGAATATAATGGAATGGAAGACCCAGTCTGGAAAGGATTGTCATAACTGAGAGAATGAAATAAATGAAAATGATTTAATGCTGGAAGTAAATATTTGAAGTCAGAATGGCTTTACGAGATGTATGGATTAATTTCTCCTAACAGATCGATCAAGTATCTCGAACTAGGTGGAGTAGCTTGAAGTGGGGTCTCTATTTACGGCGCGTGTGTGATTTTTTCTATTTATTTCCCATCCATCCAGTCCAGCCTGATTACTTATAATTTTCTCATCGACGCGATATTAAAGGACTGAGATCTCCCCACATGCAAATGCACAAAAGACCTGCCCCTCCATCTTTAGAATCCAGCAAGAGACGATTAAAGTCCATTACCACCGTTTTTTCCTTTAAACATCGACCAAGAAACTATTTCTGTACCGTTAGATTCATGGGCAATATGCCAAAATTTTAAAAGAAAACATTCTCTGCTCTCTCCACTTTTGATTCACGTCAAAACATTTTCAAGTAAATGCATGAGCAAAGAACACCATGCAATTTTCTCAGAGCTAAGCGCACTCCTCAAAAATTTCCCCCGAGAAACGAACCGGTTAAGGCAGGGGTGGCCAACCTTCTTGCCCAACTGAGCCGCATTGCCCCTTAAGGGACCTCCCGCGAGCCGCAATACCTATTTTTTACCATTAATATTACATTTACAATTATATTCGGGAAGCACCGCGGGCTGAATGAACTGTCACCGCGGGTCGTAGGTTGGGCACCCCTGGGTTAAACGTTAAAAAAGATGCGCAATCACAAGAAAATGTCGCCACTACCTTTGCTTTCTAGATGTGTAAAAAATTCCAACAGATTCCGTAATGACGGTAAATTGCACATAATTAGAAAGCTAGATGCAAATAGATGCTCACTTGCTTATAATATGCTATCCTTGCGACACGGAATAACGTGCATTCAAGGGAAAAGAAGAGAATATAAAAAGGCAAAGGGATATATAGTTTCCGAATGAAAAAATTTATTTAAAAAATACGATTTGAAGAGAGTAAACGATTCTGGGAGTTGTTGAGCAGGATGAGTTGCCCAGAGGCGTTTCAGGTCCTGGTAACGAGCAACATGGTGCATGGTCCCAAAGGGCCTTGAACAAGGATATTTCTTTAAATATCTACCAGTCAACGATTTCGACCATCCTGTATCATAACCTGAGTTTGAGGTTTTTCACAAAGAAAGAGTCATTTCAGGATAGAAGTGAACTATTGTGTATGTCATGATGATTTCAGTAATTCTGCATGAAAAATCGGGATACTATCGTACCTAGTTAACATGATGAGGTTCCGCAGCTAAGTAACAAGTTCTCACTGCATATGGAATCTGTCAGAAAAACACTAAAAAGAGGGCTTCACTAAGGACTTGTTCCTAAGGTCGAGGGCACCCGTTCTTAACCAAGCGGATGGATGGTTCAGTTGGTATGTAACAGGTTCTTGCATACACCCTGGCGTGGTAAGAGACCTCGATCACTTCTCTCAGGACTTAAAAGAACTCCGGTTTATCCCTCGATGGAGACTAACCAGGAGTAGGGAATTTAGAATCCCAATTTGGGCCAAATTGAGTCTGATCTCACTCTCTTACAAGATATTTCAGGAGATCGGATGGGGTAACATTACGGGGCTATACGAATGGCTAAACCGGCTGGAGGTTACTTGCGAATTGAAGAGATTACAGGAGATAGGTTTCCTTGGGATTAAAGTAGTAAGGGTGACGTGAGATCTGCTGTTTGTGAGATTCGGTATCAGGAAGCATTACTGAGTTTTGACTCTCATATGGCTTGATCATGCATCATGAACGGATGTCTAATAAATCAGAACAATTCACTTTCCCTTGCATGACTTGACTTACGAATAAAAATTGCAGGGCATTTTAAATTCATGAAACGAATCAAGCTAACATTTTAAGCACAGAAAGCAAGATCCATTAATGATTTATTTATCTTTTCCATCGAGGTCCAAATGGTTGCCCGAGACGGCGAGGTCGACAAACTTATACCCGATACCAGACCTTGGAACTGGAAAAAGAATTTCACTTCAATCATTACCTTACAAGACGGAGAAGGATCGAGATCGCTCATGCTCTGTGTCTCACAGAGAGACAGGTGAAAATCTGGTTCCAGAACAGGCGGATGAAGCTGAAGAAGGAGATGAGGGCGGTGAAAGAGATCAACGAACAGGCAAGAAGGGAGAGAGAGGAACAAGAGAGACTTCGGAGGGAACGAGAACGGAGAGATGCCTCGGGGTCCCTCATGCCTACAATGACACCTTTATCGATCCGCAAATGAATTCCACAAAATGTTCTTGGATACGTGCAGGTCTTTCGACCCGTTGGAGGACTTTGAGGAGTGGTCGCCCAGAGTGAAAACTCATCTTCGATCGCTTCAAAACAGGATATCAGGCTTCATTCGCTATTGCCATATATTACGATTTTCCCATGGTACTAAAGAAACGCAGACCTTTGGTATTAGCACGACTAATGAATAGCAACATTAAAAGCTTCGAAAATGCTCAATACTAAGCCTCTCCAAGCTTGTTCTTTTTTTTTTTGAAATGGTAGCATGATCTGGAGACCTGGTGACACAAAGACCACGTGACTTGAGTTGGGTAGATAATATTGGATCTCTTTGTCGTCCTGACCTGAAGCATAAGATATAGGAACCATTTATGAAGTGTAGTATAATAGGGCCAAAAGACCCGAAGATCTCGTGAAGATCGAAACTCATGAGCTGACAGTTGTTAGAGAATGCGCAGTTACGTGGAGACTTATACCTGCGAGTGTCTGCTGCAGGTGTGAGTGTAGTTTTTAAGCAACTAAACCCCGTCAAGAGCAAGGTGAGTTAATTCACGTATTTGGGTTTTCCGTGTCGCTAAATGTCATACCTATAAAACTTGTACCTGTGAATGCTCGTACCACCATGAAAAGTATTATGCTGTGCATTGGCATGGAATTTCTTCAAGGATCCTTCTCTATGAGAAGCTGTCCTTGAAGAAGTGTGCTGATTACCCTTGAAATGCAAGCACTGCAGGAGGTGAGACGTACGCTTGCTTTGCCTCTCTAAGTCCAATAGAAAAGGTTAAATGAGAGATACTGATGCTTAATGACACTAGCAATACGAGGGGGGTAGTGTAATTCAATTGAATACAGATTATGTCGTCCATCGAGTTAATAAAATCAAGAAAAAAATGATACTTTATTTCCTTATTCACCTCTTTAGAACTGGAGCTAATGCAGCCGTGTCATTTAAGGAAACTGAGAATTTATCGGAGGTGAACATTTTCCAGTGCCATTTCAGCATCACCTCTGGTGTACCAATGAAAAAGAACGTTTGATGTAGACTCACCCAAAAGGAACCCTTACAAAACGTCCACTTGCATCCATCTAGCTGAACGACAAGGTGGATAGGAGGTGAATTTTGAACCAGGTGGATGTCCCACCTGATTGAAATCCACCTGGTCATTCGCGCACATGTGCTTCGAACCAGGTGGATGTCCTCTCGGGTGGATTTTGAACAAGGTGGACATCCCTTCAACTGGTGAATTTACTCCTACAGAGACCTAGTTCCAAATCCACCTGAGGGGTGGACTTTTGTAATGGAGCGTTCCTTGATATACGTGGTATCTCCTGCTTGAACTCGCGACAAAGATGAGAAAGTCCTGATGCCAGTGCTAACGTGCTATCAGTAGTCTCTTTGATAATATATGGATTTGCAGGAATTTTCACATTGTATAACAATACTGTCACGCGAAAAAAAAAATGCATCCAGTATAAGTGTAGTATTAGGACACTGTTCCAATACACTCGATTTTCGAATGAATTACATTGTACCTTCAAATTTTTTTTTGTTTATTCCAGACTTCATACATTGAAACTCCTTCATATAAAATGAAGCATTTTAGCTGATTAACAGCTTTCCAGCGGAAATCGTATGGTTTCTATTGTTTCTGCTGGGTTCCCTTACGAAAAGATCCTATAGGATCCTATAAGATTTTTGAAACATGAAAATCTCATAGAATTCCTATAGGATTCTTATAGGATTCCTATAGAATCCTATAAGAATCCTATAAGATTTTTATGTTTCAAAAATCTCATCGGATCCTGTAGGATCTTTTCGTAAGGGTTGTGTTGTGGAAAGAATTAACTGAAAACGTTGCGAGCGGCATGAGGTAAATGGGACTCTGTTTCACAAGGTGTCAGACAAAAGGGAAAATCTGACACACTTTGATGCCGAACGTCCCTTTATTACATGCAGGATGAATATGAATTTTTGTATGTATGAATAGTGGGCCTGAGAAGTTCTGTTTCACAAAGATTTGTTGAAAATCACTCATGAGAGCACGGAGATCATGTTCACTATAGTCTTCTCTCCAACGCAGACATTCATATCCTTCCTGAAAAGTTAGTCGCCACTCTTTAATATGCGTTCAAAGAAATTGGTGAGGCAGTCGACTTCAGGGATGGCATCTGAGAACTTAGCTAATGCTCTCGAATCATCTTGAAGTACCTGATCCTTTTAAAATTCCCCTTTGTTTGAATTTGAAAATGCGCTTAGGTTTGGATGGAAATGAGGCTGAGAGCTCATTGTTCATCCTTCCCAATCGACATCAGTCCATCATTCGGTCTTCAAAGTTTATATTCTTTCAAACTGAATAAGTCACATCGCTCACTAGAATTTTCATTTCCAGTCCATCACGGCGAAATTAGACGTTGGCAGAATATGATACGCGCCGATAAAATGTTTCCATGAATTTCTATTTTGTTGAATAGTTACTTTTATTCCCTCCCATCATCAAATACAGGAATTCAGCCCTAAAGTGAGGGCGCCAAATTGGCGCCATGAACCCGTCTGCTTTTACTCCTTTCTCAATCTGACAATGACTGGGATGGAAACAATCGATGGTCCCCCTCTTGACCTTTCAAAAGAATCAGTTTTTGCAGCTTGTTAATCAATCTGTTAATGATGGGCCTGCACCTCTTCCTTTCCTTATCAGAAAATTTTTGCAAATTCCACCTCCTCCTTTTGAAAAGCAAAATTTTCATGCAAAAGACCAGGGTGCAGGGTCCAAAATCGGCCCGAACTGTTCTCACCAACCATTTTTCCGCTCATAATATTCCTTATACAAAAATAAAATTCATGTTGCTCTCAAAATCCCAGATGTGGCAAAATGGCGTGAGAAGAGCAGACATTGATTTCATATCGCCTAGGGTCGATTGATGAGTGGAGGGTTAACTCCGGGTCAGAATAGCACGGGGTTAAACTCGGGACTAGACGATCCGCGGATTGATGAATGGCGGGCTAAAGGAGGGTTAGGCTAAACTAAGGAACAAAGCGGGGGCTACATTAACCCCACTCCTAGGGTGGGGCTAAGATGTTCCTTCCGTGATGAAAAGCCTAAATTTATGGGAGGACGACACGCCCTGTTGTGATCGCGCTAGGCTGTGTACTGGCTGGTAGGCAATAACGTATACGACTGATAAAATACATATTTTGGGGAGTATCAAATGATGAGTTTGATGGGCTGGCCATATGCAGAAACATTTTATACCTATATGATAGGGTATTATGATATGAACAAAAATAGCTTCAATCTATTATGATGCAGGACTTTTTTATTATGCTTATAACGAGCTACCAGGGTGGATTGCAGTGAATTTTGCTAAACCAATTATAATGTGAACCGTCAGAACTTGTGTCGAGAGCAGTTACTCTAGGATAAATTAAATCCAGTAGAGTTTTTCGTATCAAGCCACGGCAATCGGAATTCAAGCACTAGTCTGGTAAACGGGGTCAGATTAATAACAATAAACCATCACGCAACACTCTGGTCAATCATGTGAGCAGGTACACATGGCGTTGTTCCTGGGCGCAAGACGATGGATAGGAAGTTGCCATCAGAAAAATTCACGAATACCTATGATATGTATTTTATACTTATCAAAATAGGTCTCACGGCGGATACTTATAAATTGTTCTTGCATACTGAACCTAACAAATTATAGACCTATCGCCTGATACCTACCATGATAGCTACCATGTGATTGGCCATGAAGGGACAAGTTCCTGCTTACGGACCACTGTCAGGACTCTTTTGCGGATCTCTTTGAACTGAGATTACAGGAGATTTGCAAGTCTTAAGTCCCGAACATCGGGAATCATTCCATCCCTATACTCCGTACATCATACGATAATGAGGAATTTTCAGTGCTTTTGCTTGTCCGAGCAGACTCTCCTGCATTTACAATGTTTTTCTCTTGAATTCGACACTCGTGCATGAAGACCGTCCTATGCACGTGTGTCTGAGTCAAGGGAAAAATTGTCTAACTCAAGCGAAAACCACTGTACTACGGCATATGCAACTCCAGGAACCCGAGAAGCATCGACGGGACTGCCTTACGCCAATGTATGAATCAATCCACCAATGTGAGAAGCAGCTGTTTGTCCCACTAAGCAAAGTGCTCACGCTTTGACTGAATCGTAATTTTAGATGGGCTAATGGTATGCATTACTAACACCGTTCAAAATTCAGTAGCACGAAGGCGTCCGATCCAAATGAACCGCAACCAAGGAGAGGCCTGACGTGTTAAACTGGAATGCGCATGCGCAGTGGGACACAGGATCAGCATCCCTGGAGAACAAGGTTGTGAGATTGCTGGGGAGAAGTGAGAAGGTGGGATTTGCTAACCCCGACATAATCTTCGATTCCTCAACCGACACAGGAGGATCAGTTTAGCCCTGGGCCCCATGGAGAAGTTAACCTAGGGCTAACTTAGCCCTCCATTCATCAACCGACCCTTAGACGATAGAAGTAATTGTTTTAAAAAGTTATTCTTGGTGTATCTCATAACCATGGGACTTATGAACGCCAATGAATTTCAAAGAGCGGCTTGCATTTTATACCCCACCCGGTAGAATGAGATGCAAGGCGCAGAATTCTCTCAAGGCCATCAACAGGGAATTTCGAAAGATTCGAGGAGTAGGACTGTACGTCCAGCAAACATCCTTGGGATGTCTACAGGAGGTGCATTCTTCGGCTGATTGCATCCCCTGGACATCCAGCAGACGCCCATGGGATGCAATCTGTTCCAAATTTGTGGATAACGGGACATCCGAAGTTTCTCGATGCTCATTGGATCTCCAGCCTACAACGAGAATATACCGTTTCATCCCCATCAAAAGGGTTTTGTTTATTTTCCCCTACGTTTTCACATGCATTTTAAACCCCTTTGAAATCCATCGTCCATCAAATTTCCTTCCTATCGGTAAAATTCTCCGAGTGAAACCCTTTC